TAACCGACTGCGCCACCCAGGCGCCCCTGTGAGTAGGTACTTCTAAGATGCTGGAAAGCATACCTTTTTCTCTGAAATAGGCACTGTTTCCATGACAATCATATTTATGCTAATCATTCTCTTGGTATGTTTTTTTCTTTGTGTTCTGTAGTAAAAATGATAAGTTTTAGCTCAGACTTGATCTAAATCACATTAACAGAGTCCCGATTAGTGAAATAGCGTGAACATTGCAAAGCCATTATCGGCACCTTTATAATTACCCAGACTTTTCTCCTTCTTCATGAGAAAAGGCTATGATGGGGATCCACACATGAAAAACTGCCTTTATGATAATAATAGCTAGTATTTTTTGAGCACGCACATCAGGCCAAGAACTCTGCTAAGCACTTTGCATACATTCTTGCTTTTATAGCAGATCTCTGAGGGCAGACAAATATTACCCCCATTTTACAGATGTTCTAGGAAACTGAGGCTTAGAGAAAGTTGCTTAAACATGCAATACAAGCCCCAGGCAGTCTGACTGTGGTTCTCTCTACTGCTGGGTCCGGAGAGAGTGAAGAAAGCATGAGCTTGTGTGAGACAGAAGACATTCACAGCACATCAGCAATTCTGAAGACCCACAGGCCAGCGATTTAGCCTCCAGAGAAGGTTCCTAGTTGGAAGGCTGGCTGGTCTGGCATCACATCCAGTTGATGGTATCAGATTGGCTCCAGAATTAATACGGGCCCCTAAAAGCAGGACCAGTTAGGGGCGCCTGGGTGGCTCAGTCGGTTAAGCCTCCGACTTCCGCTCAGGTCATGATCTCACAGTTCGTGGGTTCAAGCCCCACGTCTGGCTCTGTGCTGACAGCTCAGAGCCTGGAGCCTGCTTCCGATTCTGTGTCTCCCTCTCTCTTGGCTCCTCCCCCCCCTCAAAAATGAATAAGCATTAAAAAATAAATAAATAAAAATGTTTTAAAAAAGTTTAAAAGGCAGAACCAATTTGAGTTTTAGAAATAGATCACTCTTCCAACTCAACATCACTCATAATCAAAGGCAAGCAAATTTTTAAAAGGGAGAGAAACTATTTTGTTCTCTTTGTTAAATTGACAAAGCTTTTCTTCCCTTTGTTTTTAAACAAGATTATCCATTATTTGCAAGAGACTTTCATAGTTTGGCAATATGAACCAAACCTTCATGACCTTGACCCAGTTCTGGGAATGTAGCCCGAAGATATCCTGAAATGCAGGCACAAATACGGTTCATCACAGTGTTTCTCTCGACAGTGAAAAATGTGAACCATCCAAGATGCCAAACATTGTGCAGGAATGAAAGGGTGGGGGGTGGCTAACACAACATGGGAAATTTACACAGTGAAATATGATGTCACAATTAGACAAGGAGTTCTTCACAGCATGGTAAAGTGTTAGGGGAATTAATTCAGCAAGCGATCTGAATTGCGGGTCAAAAAGAAGAGTGTGTATCAGCTTCAGCCTCTCATTCATTCATTCATTCATTCATTCATTCAAGAAATCTGTATTTAGTCCCAGCCTGAGCCGTACACTGTTGGGTTCTAGAGACCTTGAAATTTAAAAAGACATTGGTCTTGAGCACCTGGGTGGCTCAATTGGTTAAGCGTTCGACTCTTGGTTTCGGCTCAGGTAATGATCTCATGATTCTTGGGGTTCGAGCCCCACATTGGGCTCTGCACTGACAATGCAGAGACTGCTTGGGATTCTTTTTCCCTCTCTCTCTGCCCCTCCCATGAGGATGCTCACTGGCTGTCTCTTTCTCACTCTCTCTCTCTCTTTCTCTTAAAATAAATAAACTTTAAAAGCAAAAGAAGACATTGACCTTGCCATCGTGGGACTTACATTCTAGCAGGAAGACAGATGTAAAGAAAGTATTACCCAGTTTTATAGGATGCTATGTGGTAGGTAACTGGGTAAGGAAGATTTTTAAGAGAAAGTGGCTGCTAGGCTGGGTTCTGAAGAATTTAACAGTCAAAAACTGGGGTGGTCCAGTGTACATAGATGGGCAAGGGACACAGAAGAGAGTTCCAGGCATAGGCCATGGTATTGCATGTGCAAAGGCCCTGTGTTACAAGGGGCACATCAGAAGAACAACCCAACGAAAGGCAGAGGTCAGGGGTGGGGAGGAGAGAAATGATAGCATCTGGAGAGTCAGGAAGGGATCGACCGCAGGCCAGCAAACTTTTTCTGTGAAAAACTGAATAATACTTACTTATAAATATTTTAGACTTTGCCAGCCAGGGGGCAAAAATCAGTGCTACTGTATATGTATTTATCTGACAAGAGTGAAAACAAATTTGCACAACATTTTTATTGATTCAATTTTAAAAATAATAATTGAGTACATCTTTTTGTAAACATACTTAGCAGTGAGAACCATGGAATATTCAGAAATGATCATATTTTGCTTAAACTAGCTGCATATTTTGCTTAATTCTCTGTTATCAAAGTTGATGATAAGTATTTGTTAATGCGGGTCAACGATGAGATTTTCTGCATTTCATCTTTATAAACTTTCTTTTACACAAATAGGTATTGTCAAACACTGATATAGTCCACAACCATGTCCTTTTAATTGAGCATATTCACACCTTGGCAAGCATTTCTAGAATCCTATTCGATTTTTCTCTTGGTATTCGCCCTTTCGTACGTCATTACATCACAGATTAAGCCCTTGCCATTGAAGGCGAGATAGAAGCTTCTCAAATGCCTTGTTAAATGGATTTTGAGATATGAAATTTGCTCGGCACTTAGCCCAAAGTCCAGAACATGGGGCGGGTGCTGCCACTCAAGCTCAGAAAGTACATTCACCAAAAATGTACGTGGCCTGAGATACGGCTTCTTGTCTTCATTCTCAGCAGAATGGAGAGCACGTAAAGCGGCTTCACCCTACTTACGATTGGAACAATGTTAATTGACGTTAAAATGACTTTACCCCAGGGTAAGCTGTGCCTGTAAATGCACTTTTGCCTTGAAATTCAGGTTCCATTCCCTAAGAAATAGTGTCAGATCCATAGCAAAAGCTAATGCGCACAGCCAGGGGGGTGTCCAGTTACAGCGACTGAGAGCAGTTCTCGTTCAGAAAAAAATGTTAATCCCAGCTCTGAGCTCGAAAGTTCACGGTCCAACCTGTCCACTGCTAAGTTATCAAACTGCTAGATGGCAGCATGGGTCAGGGCGTTCCGTTTCTAGTTCTGACAAGGAAAGTCTATAAAACTGATGATGGATAAGGTTGTGGTAGCGAAAGCTGTTCATCCTCGCTCTGTAACACCTGATGGATTCTTCTATTTTCCACCAAGCACCTACTGATGGATAATACGTTAAGTGATTATAGGCTTCAGGCACCTTACGTTCTTATGAGCTTTGTAAATTTGACCAACTAAAGCTTTCTCTGCGTTCACGTACTTTTTTTTTTACCACTGTCAGTTGCCAACACATCTTGGTAGATTCCACTTCAGCTGTTCTGTGCTAGTGTTTTCTCAGCCTCTTTGAAATTGTCTTGCCTGAATTCATTTCCCACAGACTATTCCCGGAAGCCAAGTCTGCAGTCCCTTCACGCTCAGCATCATCTCAAATAAACAACTGAATGATATCCATAATACCTACCTATCAGCTCATCAGGAGCCAAAAACAAAAAACAACACCCCCCCCCAAATTATTTGCCTCGTGTTTTAATTGATTATTGATGTTATTGTCAGTGTCATCGATTTTTCAAGCAACTGTTTTCCTCCCGAAAACGATTGTAGTCTTGAACAATTTATTTTCTCTGGACACGTTTGTTCAGCTGTTAACAATGAAACAAGGATGTCTTTAACTCACCTTGGGGCAAACTGTTTTCCTGGCTTAGCTAATACATCAGCCACTTGGAAACTTACTTGGTTTCATTATTTTTACTCAGTTTCATTTTTTTTTTTAATTTCTTAATGTTTATTTATTTTTTGAGAGACAGAGAGAGACAGACCATGAGCAGGGGAGGGGAGAGAGAGGGAGACACAGAGCCCAAAGCAGGCTCCAGGCTCTGAGCTGTCAGCACTGAGCCCGATGCGGGGCTCAAACCCACGAACTGTGAGATCGTGACCTGAGCCGAAGTCAGTTGCTTAACCCAGGTGCCCCTACTCGGTTTCACTTTTTTATCGTTGGGAAGAAACAATGCTACGGTGAGATCTTCAGTTTTGAATTTTCTAAATTTATGACCATGGCTTTCCTTGTGAGTTGGAAACGTGTGCTGAGGCTGAGGTTGGTGACGATGGTGTATATTGTATTCTCCTGGCACAGCTGTGGTGTCATTGCATGAGAAACACAATGCTTTGCCATCTAAGTTTGATAACAGAATAGCTCACATACAACAGTGCCTTAAAAGAGCAACATACACAGTCCCTTTCCGTTTCTTGTTCTGACACGATGGTATGCGCTGGTAATGAAACAAAATACAATGTTAGGATATGGCAACACGCACAGCATTGCAAACGCTGTTAAGTCACCCCTGTGTCCCTGTGGTTTGCAGTATGCTGAGTCGCGGTGCAAAGCAATGAGAGCTGTCACCACCGTCCATCCTGCTCTTACAGCCTGGAAGCAGGCACAGACATTAAGTGAATGAATGAACATGGCTGTGTTCCAATAAAACTTTATTATGGATACTGAACCTTGAATTTCGTATAATTTTCAAATGTCAGGAGATTCGGTTCTTGGTTTGCTTCTTCTCGCCGTTGAAAAAATGTCAATGCTATTCTTGATTGATGATTGACGAGCCACACAGAAACAGGTGGCAAGCTGGATTGGACCCACAGACCATAGTTTGTCAGCCTCTGCTTTAGACCGTGTGGGGACGTTGGGGTCTGCTTCTATTCAGAAGGCCTACCTCCCGTGCATGCAAGAAAGATGTCCAAAAAGCCAGCGCAAGCCTTGGAAACACTAGTCGGGCAGGGAGTCTGAGAGCATGCGTTTTCTTGCAGGACGGTACCCGAGTCATGGGAAAATGCGGTGGCTACTGTGGGAAATGTACTCCGTCCTCTGGCACTGGCCTGGAGGTTCGAATTTTATAGTTAAGGTAAGTAGGTCCCACGTTTCTCTCTCTCTCTCTCTTATTTTGTAAACTCACGATTAGCAAATGTAGCCAAGTCATTTGCCCCCGGAAAGGTTACTGTTAAGCATCTTGAAACTGACTGGCTGTTCTAACTTTTTCTTTCCTGTTCGTCTGCCCTGTTCATCTGTTCTCTGCCCTTGGATAGGAGGTCCCTAGGCTTTCTGCGTCAGATTCCTCTGCAGTTTTTCTTTAAAAACTTAACCAGGCTCCATCTCTAGAGGTCCTGAGGTCTCTGGCGCATCTAAGAATCTGTATTTTTGATACAGGGAATTCTGATTCAAGTGACTTACGGATTAACTTTTGAGATACTGCCCGAGAGTACTGCATTAATAATATTCATGACATTCATTGAGCTGTGACTGTGCCAGGCACCAGGCTGAACACTTTGCTGGCATTATTTCATTGAACCTCATAGTAAAGCCACAAGAGGGGCCACTTAACCTCATTGCACAGATAGAAGCTCAGGCCCACATAATTAAGTAGCTTGCTTATGATCACAATAGATTCTTTCGGTGGAACCCATCAGTGTCCTACACCAAAGCCAGTGCTCTCAATTAATGCTCTGTTCCACACGCTTGTGACTCAGCGTGTCATCCAAGGACTGGCATGATCAGCATCACCTGGGAACTTGTTGGAATGCAAAATCTCAGGCCTTCCCCTGGACTTACAAAACCAGAATCTGTATTTTAACAAATCCACAAGAGAGTCATGCGTGTGAAGGTTTGAGAATTCCTGGTCTCGCTACATTATGCTGGCAAGTGCTCCCTCTGCTGGGCAGAGGAATGAATCGGTCACTCATTTTCTGGTCCCCGCGCCTTCAGCTACAAGGTATGAGTTCAGCCAACTCATGTGACCCTTCTGCAACTTATTTCAAGCTTTCAGCAGTCCACTCTCCTGGAGGGCTCTTCAAGATCCTGACACAGGAGTACCCACTTGACATTTGTGTATCAGTGTTTCAGTTTAATTGAAACCCGTAGTCAAAACTATGATCTTCAGTTAGGATTGTTTTTATTGCAAGAGGCAACAGGAAAAAAAGGAACTTATCATCTTAAGGAACTGAGAAATCCAAGCAGTGGGCTAGCTACAGGCATAGCTGGATCCAGAGGCTCAAACGGAGTCATCAGGACTCATTTGTTCTCCCATCAGCCAACAAGGCTTGCTTCATTCTCAGGCAGACCATTTCCCCAACACCATGAGCTGCCCCCAAATAAACGCTCACATCCAGCGTTCATTCTGCACAAGAACGCAGGCTCTTGTTTGCCACATGGGCACTTCTGAACCATTCGCCATGTCCAGGAGACACTGTCCTGAACTCATGTACCCACCTGGAGTTGGGTGATTGACAGCTTCCTTTAGAAGAGGAAAGAGGCGTTTGTTATCAGGAAAGATGGGATGGGATGGAGACAGGCAAAGTCAGCAGGTGTCCACTAGAGGTTCCCATTTTAAATGTATTTTACATATTTGATATCTAGTAAAATAGTATTGTGTGTGTTTATGTGTAGTAAAATTTGAGTGTATATATAATATTTACATGTATGTCTAGGAAAAAGACTAGAAGGAACGGTGCCAATATTTGAAAAGCATTATCCCACGTGGGGGATTTCAGGCTAGGAGTTTATTTTATTCTATATACTCCCCTGAAACGTCCATGTTCCTATAGCAGACATGCCTCACTTTAAAAATCCAGAGAAGTTAACAAGTGTCATTTTTTAAATTCTGTACGTAAAAATCTTTGGCTTATCTACTCTTGACTTACCGCAGTTGATACGGGAGATTTACTTTTCTTATTTGGTTTATTTCTAGGTGCTCTGAAAAGGAAGCCATTATGGGATGGATGAAGGATAGTAATGCAATACCTCCACCTTAAATTTGTGTGCGTGTGGGCGTGTGAGGACTTGTATGAGTGTGTGTGTGTGTGTGTGTACATATGCACATATATACATATATATACACACACACACATATATATCTGTATATATGTGTGTGTGTATATATATGTGGAATATCCTAATGATGTAAAGTTTAATATTTATGTTTGAAATTATTTATTGTGATGTAATATTTTTGTACGTAAAATGATTCTATTATGACTGCTTTTTGCATTATGTTGTCCCCTGCAGTCAAATCACTGCATTTTACGTACTCTACATTATATGTAGTACTATGACAAAAGTGATCCTTCATTATCACGGTACACTATTGTTTACTTTCTATCTGTAAATATTTTATTGTGTCCTTTACGAAATTGTAATTTGTCTTTTTAAAACAACCTAGCTGCCATCAAGGTGCTACAGAGTCGTGTGAGTGTATTTTGGCATTTCTAGGAAAGTATCCGCCAACAAGTAATTTAGCGATGTCACAGATTGTACCAGCCATTAGTTATGTTAACTATTCAGTTTCATGTGATCTCTGGGAAAAAAAATGCTGCCTTGGTGCTATATAATGTATATATTTAAGTGATCACCAGACTCAGAAATGTAAACACGTTTAATAAAAGGGAGGCATAGAAGGACAGAATGCGACGGACAGAATCACTTGGAAAAGCAAGACCACTTGTTCTTATTTTTGGACACGCTTGTTTTGGAAGAGGATTGGACTCTGTTCTTTTTGTTACTGTTATTAATACTTTGCTTCAGTTCATGGTGCCTAGATCTCTCTGAAGTTAAATGGAGGAGACCCCAAAGCCACTGCATTACAGAGTGATATTGAGAAAGTGAGATCCTCTCGACATTTTGCCGAGACGTTCTATAATGGTGTCCCCGTTTATCAGCTGCAAGACAGGATGCTCAGGATGGGGTGACCTTCAGCACCCCCAACACACCCGGAGAAGTTCAAAACCAGTTCCTCATCATCAGGACTGCCTTCTGCCTAAACACATTGACTGGTGACATGACTTTTCTTCAGGCCATGAGCCTGAGACCCTGCCAGTTCATGGCTGCTTCAGTAATTAGCATTTGTGAGAAGACATAAACCGTGGAGTGGAAGACACCTGAGTCTTTCCAATCTTCCGTTAACCCACTCTTTGTTACTTATGTCCAAAATGGAAGTCCTGCAGTCAGTGTCTCTCAGCCCTTCCAACCTGATTGAAGGGGAGTCATTGCCAATGACCCGTGGCAGACCTTCAGTGTTTGAAATCCTGCCCGCGTCCAAAACCCAAAGAGATTAGCAAGAACCTGGGAGTATCCTCCAACCCCAAACGAACTCCAGAGTGCTCCATAAGAAGTTATACTCAGTGTATGAATAAGTGTTATTCTCCTTTATTAATACATTGTGAAAATATACTATGAATAAATACCATGACCACATCCAAACATTTGTGTTGGTTTCTGGACTCTTGATTCAACTGGGAATGAAAATATATCTGTGTTTTTTTTTTTTTAAGGTTGCCGGGTTGAGAAGAAATGCACATTTTCTTAATCCCATCCATTACAGTTGCCATTCCAGAGGTCGATAAGGGACAGGGTCTGTCCCTCAGGTCTGCGTTTTCACCCTTCAAATCACTTGTCTCTTCTGAAAGAGTCTGTGTGATGGGGAACAGATGAAAAAACAAAACAGGAGATTTCAGTGGGTTTAGGGGCTTGATTGTTGATTTTATATAGCAGTAGTTTCTACTCTATGGACTTAATGGTGTCCGGGGATATGAGAGCTTTCCAAAGAAGTCTAATAAACAGCAAATAGTAGGTCGCCAGCCCCTCTACGTAATTGGTTGAGCTCATCCTGACAACCACCAAGTAGATGTTCATGTACAGCAAATAAGTAGCCGTCCCCAAAAGAACCCTGTTTGGCTCTGATGGGGTTACACATCCACTTCTGGACCAGTCATATTGTTGAGGGAGCTGACATCCTGTACCACCTAGGGCCGGGTGATTGACAGCTTCAGCTGGAAAGGATGGTTCCTGGAGGGAAAGGTTTGTTTTCAGAAAAAGGTAGGTAGAATAAAGACAGACAAAAGCCAAAGGAATCCACTCCAGAGTCCCTGTGTGTGTGTGTGTGTGTGTGTGTGTGCACGCATGCACGGGCAAACTCAAATCCCATAGCTCATACCAGCCACAGTCCCACCCCTTATCATCCCTAAGCATCATCTAAGACTTGGGTTCTAGGCCTTTCTCTGACATATATTAACTGATCCTGAGCCTTAATTTCTTCATTTGTAAAATGAGGCTATTGTTACTCCTACCACTTACTTGTGAGATGGTTTTCTGAAGACCCTGTCAGCCCTGCATCAATGGTGGCAAACTAGCTGCCCTCAGACTCTGCATCAGCAAGCTTAAACTGATTTACAACAGTGAGACATGAGCTGTTTCAGTTAGGAACTGCGTTCTGCTGCTAATTTCAGAGCCCTGACGGCAATGGCTTACAACATTAGAGAGTGTATTTCAGGGGCGCCTGGGGGGCTCTGTCGGTTAAGCACCCAACTCTGGCTCAGCTCATGACCTCACAGTTCTTGGGTTTGAGCCCCCGCCTCAGGCTGTGTGCTGACACCTCAGAGCCTGGAGCCTGCTTCGGATTCTGTGTCTCCCTCTCTCTCTGCCCCTTCCCCGCTCACTCGAGTGTGCTCACGTGCACTCTCTCTCTGTCTCTCAAATATAAATAAACATTAAAAATTTTTTTTAAAGTGTATTTCACTGCTTTGTAAAAGAAGCCTGGAGATAGGCAATCCAGGGCTGGTATGGCAACTCCACAAAATCATCAGGGACAGAGGTTCTTTATCTCCTCCCCTCAATCCTCCATAGTTCAACATGGCTGCTAGGGCTCTAGCAATCACTCCCAAATTCCAGGCAACAAGAAAACAGAAGTGGAGGAAAAGGGTAAAAAGCGGCCTGGTCCCAACTCTCTATTCTTCTTTTAAAAAGGTGTTCCATGGGGCGCCTGGGTGGCTCAGTAGGTTAAGCGTCT